GCTGAATTTTCAGCATCATTACCCCAGTCTTCAGTGTCACATGATCCTTCAGAAATCATTCTAATATGCTTATTTGCTGATTATCAATATTTAAAACTAGGGATGCTCCGATCGATCGGCCGGAGATCGATATCGGCCGATAATCATATTTTATGACTCGATCGGTACTCACCAACTTGGCCGATCTCAGGAACCGATCCAACGCGTGACGACGTACATGATGCGTGGGGACATAAATGATTTGGCGCCGCAGTCATGTCATCGCCGGTGTGGTACTGGTATCGGTATCAGGCCCAATACTGAGCTCCTGTACTCGTACTCGTACTTAAAATGGCCCGATACCGCACAGCATGTAATAAGTGCAATATTCAGACAATGAAACACCGACAACAGAACAACAGACAGCAGAATGGAGTTATTAGAGATTAAGGATGTCTACGAAGTATATGTATGCAATGAATATAATGTTAAACATTCAGTATTAACGCCTGTATAGCGGATGTGCGCAAGCTGATAAGCAAAGAACACTGAGTGGATTGAGCGTGCGGCGGCGCAGATGCGTGAGCTTGTCGAGTGAATATATCTTTCTCGATTAAAACTAAATTGTAAAAATAAGACCATTTATAGGGGCCTTCACTATAAACATCATTTATTTTCAACCTTAGGCATACACGACTTTCAGGCGAAAGTGAATCTAGCGTAAAAATAAGACCATTTATAGGGGCATTCACTATAAACATCATTTATTTTCAACCTTAGGCATACGCGACTTTCTGGTGAAAGTAAATCTAGCAGCCTGTGTGAAATGCGCTAGGCTTGTCCCTCTCATTCTGCATCAGTACAAATACGTGCACGTGTTGCACGTGTTTTGCTTGCTTGAGTGTTTCTGCATTATATGAATGGCTTTGGAATATAAATCGCAGCACGTTTCAGATTAAAAAAAGGCGACTTCTATTTCTGAAAATTTTGTTTCAGAACGACGAGACAAAAACATGAAAACCCATTACAAACGAGGCATTTGTTGCATCCAGTGGGGACATAATTACTGATTATAATGACTTATACTGTCTTTTTACGCGTTGCGTTGCATTGCATCGTGCCACGTAAACATAAAACCCTGTCTGCATTTGTGATCAGAGAAATGACAAACTAGAAGCGCTACTCCACACTGCCCAAAACTCACGTTTGAATCATCAGTGGCAAATGATAAATGAAAACGTACTTACGTGAGTCAGAACTGCCGGCATTTTAGTCTAACGTTACTCTCCCAGGATCAGTAAACAGTATTTAAAAAATGTACAAATGCAATAAAAATATCGTTATCGGTACTTGGTATCGACAAGTACTAAAAATAAAAGTATCGGTATCGGGCGAGTACTGGAAAAAGTGGTATCGGTGCATCCCTATATATTTTGGTTGCATTTGAGAGTTAATAAAAATGTAGATGGTTGTTTAAAATAGGTACATAATGTCATAATATCGATAAATCGATCGATATATTCCTGAATCGAATCGTATCTAAATCGTATCGTAGAATTTTGTTGATATCGGCAAATATCGTATCGCTGGGTATGAGAATTGATATTGATTGATGACAGAAATGTACAGTGAAAATCATGCAGTTAGTTACAAATTGCATGTAATCAAACAGATGGTGAACCCAATTGATGTATAGATGTAACTACAGTACAGGAAGGTATTTTTAAATGTGTAGCCTTACGTCTCTCATGGGAAGAAGAGGATTAAGTAAATATTTTTAAATGTAAGTACAATATAAAAACAGGTATGTACACAATAAGTGCATTGTACCAATTGATTCATTTAAATGTAAGAACACCGTAGTTAAAGGCACTTAATATAAAGTGGGTTCTACTTTGTTTTTAAAATAATTTTAGTTAGAAATTGCTATAGAAATAACATTAAACAAAGGTTAAGCAAAGTTGAGGTGGCAGAGGGATATCAGAACAAACTGTCACAGGTGTGAGGTGAGCAGCTATTTACTGTATATATATATATATATATATATATATATATGTATATACAGTGCTTAATTTGTAAATTGCGAGGTCCCGGAACAAAGTGGGGTGACGGATCCGGCTGCGAGGTCCCGGAACAAAGCGGGGTAACGGATCCGGCATGTGATTAGAGGAGGGAGAGGTAACAAACCATTCGCGTAATCACATTGGTGGACCAGTTTAAGTGATTAACAGCGTGCATCAGTTGCTTGTAGGGTCCGTACGGTCATGAATAACCTGGAAAAGCCATGACATTTTAAACCAGCAATTTCCAGGCCTGAAAACGTTTTTAAAAAGTTGTGGAATTTTATTTTTCAAATCTCTGTATAATAGAGTTATATTTAATCAGGTCCTAAATTTCAGTGTGGGATTGTGTGTAGCTATATCGCATAGCTTTACTCATTCCCGCAGCTTTCAAGTTTATAATGAGGGAAATTCCTGCATTTATTCAATATAGCATGTAGGTTAGATGAGCAAATAAATCCACACAAACTATAAGATTAAATCAGTCAGTTGAAACCAGAGTTTGAAATCATGAACTCTTTCAGAGCGCGCTTCACATCAGCGCATCTCGTCTGCACTACAACGAGCTGCTGCGAGCTGCGATACAAGACTTTCACTCGCATTTCGGGACAGCTGACAGAACTGTCACTTGACTAATCGGGTCATTGTTGCATTGTCACAAAAATGTATAATTTGCACATCTTAAGTATTTTAAGCCATTTGGTACTCGCGCGCTCCAAAGATTGTATTCTGTGCGTTCACACAGTCACATTCAAAGTGCGCGCTTATAAAGCCGCCTCGCAAGTATTATATAGGAGTTATTTTTCGTAGTTTGTTGAGCTTAAGTAAAATAACAACCAAAAACCAGAGTAAAGACCCAAAGCCTAGAAATACTGTCTACTGAGAATAAAATATTAGAAGTGCTGGTAAATTAGCAGTTTTCTGGGCTGAGAAGTTGGAACATTACCGGTAGCATTAATCTGCCAATTTTGTGACAATTTAGCAAGATTAAAGGGGTCATATGATGCAATTTCAAGTTTTCCTTTCTCTTTGGAGTGTTACAAGCTGTTCGTGAATAGATAAGATCCCTAAAGTTGCAAAGACTAAAGTCTCAAACCCAAAGAGATATTCTTTATAAAAGTTAAGAGTCGTCCACGCCCTCCTAAAACACCTCGTTTAAACACGCCCCCACATGTCTACGTCACTGTGTGGGAAGATTTGCATAACACCGCCCAAATGTTCATGCAAAGAAAGAAGGCGTAACTTTGATTCTCGCTGTAGTATTGTTGCTGCCCCCGCCGCCATGTCGTAGAGACGCTGTGTGTTTTGTGTTCTGCGTTGTGAAAGCGAAACTACTTTGTTTGGCCTTCCAAAAGAGGACACAACTAGAAATCAGTGGTTAAGTTGTATTTACAACACTGTTCCAGAACAGTTCAACCCAAATATTCAGATGTGTGCAGCGCATTTTTTTATGGAGGACTGTTTCCTGAACCTGGGAATGTAGCCTACAATGCCGGAAAGGTTGTTTCTATAAAGTGGGGCAATTCCAACTTTGCAAGGACAGTCTTTTTTTGAACCTTAAACCGCATAAACACATTGCATTACACCAAATACACAAAATAATGTTCTTTTTAGCAACGTCATATGACCCCTTTAATATGCAAAATCGGCTACTGATTGAACAGTGCTACTGTATATTGTTTAACCAATGTGGTTCAAACAATGGAGGGGTGAACATGTTACTGTGGTTTTGGGAAACAGTCATGAGAAGCTAGTTAATTTCCCCAACGTTGCATACAATGATGGTTTAGCAGCAAGTTACGTCACTGTACCGGAAACGCACCCCTGTTTGTGTTGGTCTCTATACATATTTCCATATTAGTTATGACAAACAAAAATGATCCAAATAGATTAAGTAAACTTCCATTTAACAAATTTCAATTGATTACATAAAATTAAATATCATTGTGAAAAAGTTGTTTTGCATTATGTTGCTAGTAGTCACACAAATCTTAGCTGGTGAAGCTAGTGAAACAACACTGACCTTCTGATGAAACTTATGAAGCAATGAAGCTATTTTTTTACAGGAACACATTGTTTTAGACCTCACTACGCAAACTGCACCGACGGCAGTGCAGAAGCTCTGTTAAACACATGGAAAATGATGGCGCGTTTCAGCAATATCAATGCTGAGACCTGAGACTTTCTTTTTTTTTAGTGATTCAAATGCCTATAAATGATCTCAGATGAAATAGCCATGCTCTATGTGCACCAGTTCACAATATGTTTCATTGTTTTTGGTAAACATTCAGGCCACAGGCAAAAACCTTCTCCATTGTATGTAATTGGTTCTTGTGGAAAAAGCACATCTGTATATCTGGAGAAGATTCAAAACAAAGCAACAGCAATTCTGGATGCACTTGAATGGGATCAGAAGCCTCTTTGTCTAAATGATGAACATCCTAATGCTGGACTGATGTAAACTATCTCAGCTACAGAAACGAGACAAACCACCTTCTCCTCTATTTATTGTTTCTTTCTTCTCATGGAAAGCAGATTTCAGCAATCATAACAGAGGACTGAAGCTGTATGTGACATCTGGAGTCCTGATGTGCTTTTGCAAAATCATGTAGCCACTAATCATTAACGTCAGAGAAGGATCAACTGTAACACTTTTAAAATCATCACTGTTATTCACTGATTATCTTGCCCTCTAGTGAGCTGTTAACAGCTGTGACCAGATCGAGTTAGCGAGTTGAACTCGAGAACCAGATAAGCCCAAGCTGTGAACAAATCATTAAGACCATTTTTGTGAACAGCATCAACTGATTCATTGAAAAGACTCACCATTACTTCTCTCACACATCAGGGACTAAGTTTGGTTATTTGCAACTGAATAACCTTGGTATATTGTCATAGGTTTGACTCATTGATTGTGTGCATGTGTTTATACAAGACCAACAGGAAGCAAATCTTATTTACCTGTGGCTTTCTCAGGGTTACTGCACATGAAACAGAGCCAGCCACCCTCCTCTTCAGTGTAGCTGAACAGGTCAAAGAAACGAACCTCCTCCAGATACATCTGCAAACTGTCCACATCCTGAGAGTGAATACAGAGAAGGAGTGATGAAATTTAGCAGATGAAGCTACTCCACAGCACTGAAGATAACACACAAGAGAAAGAGTCATTAGCCACCATGTTTCTTTTGCACATTTTAATGGAATAGCATAGACACTGTTAAAATATGTGTCCTGAGACATCAATATCTCAATATCTTGAGATTCTGTAATCACCAAAAAAGCAAGACAGCAACACACTATTGTTTTTGCCAATCCAATGACTTTGAGGTGCTCTCTGTCTGCCAGTTACTGTGGGTACGGTTTGCTGAGATATCTCTTAAAGGGATAGTTCACCCAAAAATGAATCTTCTGTTATTACTTACTCACCCTCATGTCGTTCCAAACCTGTAAGATCTTCGCTCATCTTCAGATCACAAATTAAGATCTTTTTGATGCATTCCGAGAGCTCTCTGACCCTCCCATAGACAGCAAGGATCCTTACACGATCAAGGCTCAGAAACGTAGCAAGGAGATCGTTAAAATAATCCATGTGACATCAGTGGTTCAACCGTAATGTTATAAAGCCACGAGAATACTTTTTGTGTGCAAAGAAAACAAAAATAATGACTTTATTCAACAATTCGTCTCCTCCACGTCACCCTATAGCGCCATTTTGGAGAGTATCACATATGTAAACAACATATGCAATGTATGTATGCGGATACATTGTTTACGTTCAGATCAAAGCGTAAACAACGTAAACAGCGTATCCGCATACGGTGCTGCTGACACAGAACAGCATACGTTGTTTGCATCAAAAATATCTTAATTTGTGTTCCGAAGATAAGGTCTTACGGGTCTGGAACGACATGAGGGGGGAGTAATTAATGACAGAATTTTCATTTTTGGATGAGCTATCCCTTTAAGGGCAAAATATTGGAGAGAAGCTGCTAGCTAAAGCTAGCAAAATGGCTAACATTTATGATAAAAGCGCTACCTTGCGCATGTAAACAGTAACAGCGAGACAGCTTACTAGTTTTTGGAACAGGTACACTATATTGATTTAAATGTTAAGATTTACACTGTAAGGGAAACAGGTCAATTTAGCTCAAAGGGAATCATTTAAGATTTTAAAGGGAATTTGGACAGAATCACTGTTTTACGGCTGATCACTGAGACGGCCAGCGATTAATTGAACGAGCCGAATAACATCAACTCTGAAATGGATATTAATATCCAAAGTATAGTGAAAGCACTATTTATTAGCACAGTAACAAGATCAGCAGTTTAAGACATTAACTTGTAACTGGAGGTACTTGCGTTGCGTTGCCTGTATCCGGGGGGTTCCCTTTTGTTGTTGTCCTTGCAGAAAAGGGTGTTTCCCGCGGTTGCTGATTGGCTGGAAGTTCAGTCTTGGGAAGCCAGTGGTTGGGCGTTGGCTGACGACGGGGAGCTGTGGTTTGAAGTTAAAGTTTAGACGGCACTCTTTCAGAGACACGGCGTTGGGCAAAACTTAACTCGGAACACACTAAACTCTCAACGGAAAATAAAATAAACTAAAGTAAAGAAATAGAAGTAAAGTTTGACGAGACTAGGTGGCGTTTCTCCAATTCGGCTCCTCGTGTTTCAACTTTGTTTTTGACCAAATCTTAGATTGTCTGATTCGGTCTGATACCCTACAACACTGTGGAAAGTAGTAAACCACAAGCTAGCTTTGAGAGAGTTGTGATATGCTGTGGCTAGCCACTAAAGACTAATTAAGGGTTAAGTGGGTTAAAAGTCTTTAAGCAGGACAGACTTTTGATATAGTTATCCTTAGTGCTGTCAAACAATTAATTGTATCCAAAATAAAAGTTTTTGTTTACATAATATATGTGTGTGTGTGTACCGTGTATATTTATTATGTTTATATAAATACACACACATGCACGTATATGTTTAAGAAAAATGTTATATTTGTATATTAAATATATTTATATATAATATAAATATATACATGTAAATATTTTCAAAATATATACTCTATGAGTGTGTATTTATATAAACATAATAAATATACACAGTACACACACATATATTATGTAAACAAAAACTTTTATTTTGGATGTGATTAATCACGATTAATCATTTGACAGCACTAGTTATCCTACAATCTGTCTCTTAAGTCTTTGTGGAAAGCCATCAATGGACTGAAACAGCTGCGTAATGACAATCTGGGATTTACTTTACGTATTAGAGAGTCAACGGCACAGCTAGACACCAATGAACAATGAGAGTCAACATCTAAATATGCTTACTAGAATTTCCAATGGATGTGAGGGTGTGTGGCCTTTAGGAAGAGCAGTCTGCCAAAATGAAGACAACCAATGATATTTGAAAATTATCTGTTTTTACAGATATCAAAATAAGTGAAGTGACTATTATACTGAGTTGAGGTATTCTGGAAATAGACGATTACAAACATCACACAGAAGAGTAGGGAGAAAAACAAGGATTTTTCAGAAGTCCTTCACAAGAAATTACAATCACTGGCTTGTGCATTGCCTCCACCCTTAATGGGATAGTTCATATAAAAATGAACATTCTGACATCTATTACTCACCCTCATGCCGTTCCAAACCTATGTGAAATTCATTCATCTTTGAAACACAGATGAAGATATTTTTAATGAAACATGACAGATCACTGTGAAAGAAAAAAGGTTTGTTCTTGTGCATTAAGAATGTATGGCTGAGCTGCCGTTGACCATATTTGATGGGCTTAAATCATTGTAAAAAAAAAAAGAAAAAAATCAAATAAAGTGACCATGACTTTGCAGAAGACTTCATATGGATTACTTTTACGATGACTTTTGATGAATTTTTGGTTGAATGGTCTTTCACTGGAGGGACAGAAACCTCTCGGGTTTCAGTAAAAAATATCTTCAAATATCATTACAAAGATGGTTTGGAACAACATGAGGGAGATAAATTGCGGATAATCAAACTACCTAAATCACACAAAGCTATGTCTGAAATCCTTTTGTGGAAAATAGGCCTAAAAGTTATTTTGAGAAAAATTATTTTTTTTCCTACAATGAAAGTCAATGATAAACAAAACCAACATTCTTCAAAAAAATTTTGGTGTTTTGCAGATGAGTCATACAGATCAGTAAGTGATGACAGAATTTTCAATTTTGGGTGAACGATCCCTTTAAAATTATAAAGCTGAGTAATACAGAGCTTTTCTATTATTTTCTTAGAGCTCTGGGGAACTATTCCATTAAGGTCTGATTTTCTACTTTCTACATTACACACAGTTTCACCTCAAGTGAATAAAACCAGGTCATCATTCATTCCAGCTTTCTCAGACCTGAGGCTCAGAAAGATGAATGGAAAGAGCTTTCACCATCTCCTTCAGCATGGCAGCACATTACTTAGATTAAGGTGGGGGACACAGTAAAGCCAACTTCCCCTGACAATAGACCAACGCCAAATTTGTTAGAAAGGAAACTGCTTCAAGCCCTAAGAAACCTGTTTCAAGCCCTAAGGTAGACAAGAGTTTCATTTTCACCTATCCTGTGAGTGACTATCACAATTGAGAGCTTTTATTTCTCTGAGTTTAAAGCAAAGGCAGATGAAAGACCATCCATCATACATCTTATGTTTAAATTCTCTTTTTGCTTGCCTGTAGATTGATGCAGGTCATTTTTCAAACCCCCACGGACAACCTCTCTGGCAAGAACAGTCAAGTCATCTTACTATTGCTCTGCCATAACTTATTTCACGCCAACTAAATCAGTGTAAGAATCGAGCAAGAAATGTAATGTGCATTTGATTATTTGTGCCATGAAAACCTTTCAAATAGCACAAATTGCATCTGATGTATTTTTTACAGATGAGTCAAGTACATAGATCTAAATGAGGGTCATGTGTGTGTATGTGTACATGTTCTCACATGTGGAGTCTAGTAAGGGATATTTGTGCCGTGGTTTATGTTCCTTATTAAAAGCTGGGCTCCAAAAATCTGAACTGAAGATTTACCCAAATCGTTCACTCTAAGGTAGTGGCCTTGAACTGGTGGTTAACCCAAAATTAGGTTGCAGGTTTCAGGGTTCTGTCACTTCGGTTGCACTTATTCTTAGCTTATTGACTAAGAACTCATATATTGTCTTGTCTTTGTTTGCAGCCTCAAGTTTGCTGATGCTGTGCACTCTCTTGTGTGTTGTGTGTGGAGCGTGCGGATCTCGACACTCCTGTCTGCATTGGTTCAGTCCCAACATTAATGTTTCATGTCTGCCTCACCTGAGGCCCCCCTGACCACCCCCAGAGGTGGTTGAGTGTACTTCAGCTTTCCCAGAGGAAACCAACTCTGCACCACCACCTCACCTTCACAAGAGAAGATTAAAGGGGTCATAGGATGCCCATTTTCCACAAGTTGATATGATTCTTTAGGGTCTTAATGAAAAGTCTGTAACATAGTTTGGTTATAACAAATGATTCGCACGAACATAGACACATTTATGTAGATCGGGGGCACATTCTCTTCAAAAACAAAGGTAATCCACTGCGTCTTCAGCGGCTCAGATGTCGGGAGTAAATACACACATTTCAGTTCAAACAACTTGTAAAAGTGCATGTAGCATCAATATGACCCCTTTAACAAGTCCGGTGGTCTTGGAGGTCCCATGTCCAGTTATCCAGAGTCCGGTGATTTTGGAGGTCTAAGTCTGGTGTTCCTGGCCATCCAAGAACTGCCCGTTTTCACTTTCATGGCCACGGAGGACATTCCAGTGTCTGCTCTAACCCTGGCCATTATCTGGGGTCCCTGATCTTCCGGAGCCTCCCTGGTCCATCCATCTACTGGGGCTCCTGACCGGGGCTCTCTGCCAGAGTCCTGCCTGTGCACCCTCTCGTCTTTGTGGTGCATTATATAAGGCATGGTATCTGGATCTCCTATTTGGTTTGTTTTGGCTCATTGTCATATTGCATGTTTTATTTTTGTTGTAAGCACACGAGTTGAGTGTTCATTCCTTTGCTGTGTACTCTTGTCAGCAACCCAGGATCATTGGAAATACATGCATTTAAATACATTTCTGCAACACCATTATTATGTACCTTACTGCACATTTCACGGCAGTTTCAAAGTGAAATGTCCAGACAGTGGCACTAAAACACACGTTTAATATGTGACCGTAGCACGTTTTTAATACGTTGCTACAGGCACATATTCCTGCGTATTTATTACGCTGCTTGAGGTACATATTGCGGCTGTTCAGAATGAAAACATCTGGGGAGTGTTGCTAAAGTTTAATGCTCTATCGTGTTGGAAATATCCCCTACACAAACCCAACCCTAAACCTACCCGATAGTGTTAACAAATGCAAAAGTGATATAAAATCATCTCTCAAGTGC